AAAAGAGAAATTTGGCAGGACTGTGTTTGATTTGAGAGCAGAGTCTGGCTGCTAACATTACCTGCTGCTCTACAGCTTGTCATTAAGAGGAATTAAACCAGCACTTGGGAACCCATTACAGAAAAGACTTGGATGTTCCTTGTTTGTAAGGATGGATTAGTCTGATTTATATGAGATTAATCCTTTGGCATGTAAAAAAAACAAGACCACAGCTAAAAACAAAATATGGGATTACCCTATTAACATAGCGCACTGATTATCAACAGTACGACTCCTTCCCTTTCTGTAGCTTCCTCAATTCAGCAGCTCTTGGTTGAATTGACAACTTCACACCATGATTCCATACCTGCTCAAACAGTTACTTCGATGTCTTGAAGGGAATTTTGTAACCGCTTTAAAAGTCCTTATTTGACAGGTCTCAGTCTAAAATCCTGAAAGCCTGAGGGAATGGCAAAAGGAAAAGGAAATGAAAATAGCAGCTCAGGACCTTCAATACTTTTTTAATTCACGAAGCTGTTAGTGTAATACTGAATCCTGGCTGGGGACCCAATTTTGCTATTGCACAATATTTGCATTTGTGGAGGAACACAAAAATAAGGAATTCCCCCAATAAATTGGATATAGTACCATCAGAAGCAATCACATCCTGCAAGAACAAAGCCTTGCACACAAATTCTCCCATATACAATATGTAATATTTCTCTCTGGACTCCTCTGAGTAGTTACAATCACACTTAAAATATGAGACAATAATGAAGGGTAATCATGTTTCCATATTTTCAGATAACTTCTTAATAAAAGACCTTCCTTTCAAGACTGTCTACAGTATCACTGGGAAAAAAATAAACTCCTTTTTCAAGTAAAAAAGTAGCAGTATCTTGTTCCCTGGAAAGTGACTGCTAAGCAAAAATCCTCATCTGGAATTTCAGCATATACAGCTATCACCCCTATACAATCCCCTGGAGAACTCAGAGGCATGCCAAAGCAGGGGTTATGGATCCAAAATGTGGCAGGCCACTGACTCTTTAGCCTGTAAAATCAACACTCAATGCTGGGACAACCCATTTCCTGCTGCAGGAAAAAAAAAAAATAAAAAAATCCCAAGTCCACTCTTCACCTAGGAGCAGTTCCCTGTCTTTCCAGCTTTATTAATGCTGCTAAATAGAAACAGACCAGGGCTTTCCTTATCAGACAGTCCTCTGAGTGTTTGTGCATCGCCAAGGATTGGCAAAACCTGAAAGAAATAGAAGCAGTTGCCCCACCATTGTACCTCACCATGCTTGAAGATCCAAACTTTTGCTTAGGCTTCTCTTTCACAGTTTCAAAGGAAGGTGTGCTCCTTTCTGGATCCCAGCTGCATGCCTAAGAAGATATTTTCTGAGCAGTAATATTAACCAGCAGTATGTTAACTTCTCAAGGATCTATTAGTTCTGATAGCTATCAAGCAGTGATTCTGACAATCCCTCCACTTGGAAGCAGATTTTTAAAGAAATCTGCAAGCTTCTGATAGCCATCAGGACAAGCGAGATTCTTTTGCCAAGAGGAAAAGATTATTACTTGCAGCCATGGAAAATGCAAAAGCTATTTAGATGCTATAATTTCCCCTGCAGATCCAATACAGAACATGTACAAAAATGTCAGACACCCATAGCTGCTTGCCTCCAGTCAGAACTATGAACACAGGAGTTAATGCTAGTTAAAGAGGTATTTTTAGACAGGTACGCAGCTGAGAGCCAAAAGACTATCAATTTTGAATCAGATGTTTGAAAGACATAGGCATATGTGAGCATCTGAAGAACAGGAAAGGAGAACATTACTTGTCTCATAACTGAAAGATTAGATTTCTATTTCCCCATGCACTTTTAATGTGCTTACAGAGTTTCATGAAATAGAACTCCTGGGGCAGGGCTGGGGACACAAGGAAGCTATCTGTGTACGCAGCAGCCTGGGCTACAGCCAGGGCCTGATGCAGATGGGCTGTGGTGGGAATGCCAAGCAGCCCTATTACCACGCTCCAGTGCATTGTACTGGGGATCAAACAAGACACCTTAATCTCTTGCATTTTCTGATGAAAACAACCTGATCAAAGACAAGCTAGCAGCGTGAACAATTTCTCACCAGGAAGACCTGTGGTGAGGTTTTCTCTCCCTGTGCCAAATGCAAAGACATGGTAAACTTCATGGGTCAGGCTGGGCAGGTTGTCTCCTAGAGGCACTCTAAGCAGCCTTCTGTAAAGCATCCACAGAAAAAGTAACCTGCTGCAGGCAGGAAGTGCTGGAAACAGCTGCCAGGGACTGCAGGATGCTGCTCTGCCCTGTGGGAGCCCTTACCAGGACTGCTCTTCCTGGAAATACACACCTGAAGTATCTTTGAGAGCTTCAAGCTAGACTTCTTGTTCCATCAGAATTCCTTCATTTTTAGCATTACTGATCTTTCAGCAGGGCTACTACATAAAGAGTATAATTCGCATATTAGATGTTAAAAGTGGCTATCTCCTGCATTTATTAATGGCCAGCAGGGTTGGGACAACAACTGGATCTCTTGTGCAGCCTTCCTGAAGTTATTTCCTCAGCTCTGAAGCACAACAGATTCATTGTAGACTAATCTTTCCTGTTGAGAAATCTGTGGTACCAATTTTATGCTTAATGAGTGGTTGATTTATCCCTGTTGCAAGGCCACTGAGTTCACTCAAGCTAAATAGACCATAAGTTTACCTCTTACTTTCCCAGTAGACAATACTGTTTTTTTCCTTCGAAACCATACGAGTGAAGCTCTGGATGCACCAATGTACATCCTGCTCCAGCAAAGCATATAAGCACATATATGGGAAGCATGAGAAACTACTGAGGAACTGGTATACCTCCATAGCTGTATCACTTTGTCAGCCTCTTTCTCCTGACAGCTCTGTTCATACTATTCAGCAGGAGACAGAGTACTCCTTTGGGCATTTGGCTTAAAACAGATAAAACAGACAGTGGAAAGATGCCCATTGCTTGCTCTGGAAGCTGACCTATGCTCTGAGTATGTTGACAGCAGCATGGAAGCTCTGCAAGGGTAAGACAGTGTGTCTTACCCTTCTGATCTCTTGCATAATAAACCCATCTACTGTGCCTGTATTTACTGGTGATTTACCAGGCATCAGAGACATCTGCTCTTGGGCTTTTTCCCAAGATCCTCCTACTTAACACCACCAGTTACTCCTTAACAATCCCTGCTGTCCACTTCCACTTAAGTCCTTCCAAAGCAAAACATATGCTGCAATCCCCATACTTATGTTATGGCTAACACTCTTTCTCATGCTTGTTTCAATGCACCTCACCTGACCTACATTTCCCTCTTCCACACCCAGTCAGGGAAGTCACTGAATAATTTCACAGCACCTTTCTCTCATGTTCTTTTTTTTTTTTTTTTTTTTTTTTTAGGGGAATGGTTTGCTTCTGGCTGTGTTTACATCTCCATTAGTTCTTTATCCTGTTGTCTGAATGTTTTTTGTTTTTTTTTTTTAGTTCTGCTTTTTCTAGCTGTCTAAACATCTTACAAAGTTCCTCATCAGCACCACAGCACCAACATTCTGATCATGGAGCATCTGTACCAAGATTCCTACATGCTGTCCCTTTGTAAAAAAAAAAAAAAAAACAAAAAAAACAAACCAAAAACAAAAACAAAAAAACAGGCTCAGCAAGCGCATTGCTCAACTAAATTTATAGGGAACTCTCACTGAAAAAAAATAGAATTAACCCTGCCATATTCTACAGAAATAGTAAACACACTATAAATATTTCTCTCCATTATACCTACCGATGAGCAAATTTAAGTCTTCTTTGGGCTGTGTTATGCAGAATCTGAGACCTCTTTATGCTTCCCCTCTCTTCATGGAATTTTTAGGCTTAGCAAGGCTTAAATGATACATCTTCAACCCGGGGTGGCAAGAGCAAAGTGCTGCTGCAAATCACTCTGTTCAAACACCAAACAAGCAGCTTCAGTTTTAAATAGATAAAAGACATCCCTAACGTTCTGTCTTTTTACCTTGCAGATTACTTCACGCAACTTTCCAGGGTTGTCCTTTGGAGTAGATGAAGTCTGTGCAGAGACATCTCAGTTCTCCTCTCCTGACACATCAGGCTCAGAAGCCAGTGAGCAGAAGCAGCATGTCCCACTCTCACACAGCAGAAGCAGGCCTTTTCGTGACAAAGGCTTCCCTACAGCTGCTATGCAGCCCCAATTGCAGAAGCAATTCTTTATCTGGCTGAGAGCAGTTTCCCATGAACCCTCAGCCACAACACAGCCCATACACCATTGGAGTTTCTTATACAGCCACTGCAAGCCAAGAAACCTGCACAGCTCTGTTCAATAATTCCTGACAGGCTTCAAAGGATTGCTAATTCCAGACCACTTCAAAAAAAAATGCAGAGTATTCTCTCACACTTTTTCTTCCCTCCCTTCTGTGAGCCAGTCAGCACCTGTTGGGCCATAAACAACACAGCAGCTCTGAAACAATCCTGAACAGCTTCAATGCTGAGGGCAAGAAAGTCCCATGGACTTGCTCCATGAAGAGTCTAATGCCAAATATTATCTGGAGGCAATTAGTGTGCCCATTGCTGGCCAGAATTGTGGACTAATAAGGGTTAACTGCTCTCCCTGTCTCCCCCCCTCCCTGTGCTTCTGTCAGAGCCCTGCTCTGCTCTCCAGCCAGGCTGGGCTCAGTGCTCCAGCATTCAGCATCTGCTGACAGTGAGCTGAGCCAGGTCCTGGGGTCGGGTGAAGGTGCACAGTCCCCCAGGAGCTCCAGAACAGAAAGAGCAGCAGCCAGAGGTCTGGAGATTGCAGAATTACACAAGTTGAAAATAACCTTTGAAAAATCCTAACCTAAATATCAAAACTGTTTCTCTTCCCTTGAAAGACGGCAAGCAATCTAACGACAATGCCTATTGAAGAGCCATATGGAAAAAACAGTTCTGTCCTGTTAAACTGGTTGTGCAGTTTTGTTTTTCATCTGTTTACAGAGATCTGAGAATTCCATGTTTTATTTTATGCTTTTTCAGCAAAGAAAGCGAGTGAACTGGGGCTCATCTGGCCAGAAACACAATAGGTAAGAACAGTATTTTTGTGTAACGTATTTCCAAGAGCCTGAGTGTACAGTGTTTGTGTAACTGAGCGAAAACGGTATTTAGGATGCTGTTCTCCTTGGGATAAGCTGATTATAGGTTGGTTGGTCACTTGGTTGGTTTGTTTTCCCGGACAAGAAAAGCTGAGCTGCTATAGTATCAGAGTGGTGTGCAAGATCCTGGCAGTTAAACAGTAAACAGACTTTTTTAATCCTCTCCAAAGCAAAGAGCAAAACAGTTTCCACTGACAAAGGTAAAGAAAAATATTTGGGGTTTTATTTAAGCTACAGTTAGAATAGAATAAGAACCAAGTGGCAAAGAAGTGCCTCAGAGTCATAAGGGAAGCTCTGCTAAAGAATAATTTAAAAAATATTTTCAAGTTTTCTTTCAACTTGTTCAGACATTTGTTTAATTTTTCATTGAGCCAGATGCAAAAAACATTGAAGAGACCTTGAAAAAAAGAATAGTCTAACCCTACTAGGACATTAAATAAGGCATTTAAATGTTCTAGTAGCGATCATTGTAATAGCCTCACCAATACTAAAGATATACACTAATTTGAGAATCACTGATGAAGATTTTGTACATGAAAGTCTACAGTGCTTTCATTGCTTTGCTTAAATGTGACGATCTTGAATGGGTTTACAACTGAAATAGCCCCTTCATGGACTCAGATAAATTGTTACAGGCAGAAGCTGAGTTGTTGATTTAGTCCAAGTCAAAAGCTCATTTCCAAACGTGACAAGGAAAGGGCTGATCTAAAGCAAATGTTACAAAGGACTGATGCTCTGCTTTTTATGTTCTTTTTGTCCCTGGCTGTTAATCTGATAAAACCAGGATCTTTACTACTTCTTGTTGTTGGTAAGATACAACAAAATACTACCTCTCCCCCCACCAAGAAAAAGATAAACACAAAACTCTGAGCTCCTGTAGCTTTCCAAATCCTCAACTACAACTGCCACCTGTTTTAAAGGTCTGCACCTTTTTCACTTTTATACCTTTTCCACTTGTGTATTTTCCTTTTCTGAAGCAGGATGTGGCAGAGAGGAGAAAGTCACAAGAATAATTAATAATTTCATGTTAACAGTGTATTACCAAAAGTTCTCATCTGGAGCCTCCTATCTGCATAGTTCAGCACAATGTACACAACTGTTCAAGCAGCATCAGCATTTTTGTAGGCAAGTTCTAGAAATACTTGAGCAGCTTAGATTTCTTTCAAATGTTTGAAGCTGACAATTAAGCCTCTTTGCAAAAGGAGATGGGCATATATGATTTTTGATACCTGATATGGTTAAAAAACAGAGTTGTTATGGTTCTAGTGAGCAGCAGATGTAGCAATGGCCTGGAAACAACACAGTTATGAAAGACATGTTTAATGCACAGTGATTTATCCAGCTACATTTGTCCACCTTCCTCACAGTAAGACATTCATCTTCCAAAGTAGATAGACAAAAAAAAACTTACAATCCATTTAGAACCAGTTTAGGGCTGGTTATCAGAATCTAACACTTTCCATGGAACAGGATCTCATCCAGCCCTGAGTAACTTCTTTTGATCCTCCTCTTCACATGTCCTTATTGCCATGACTGATTTACAATCTGTGTGAATTAAAAAAAATAAGATGACCTCGGACAGAAGGTATGTCTGGGGTATAGTGACACCCTTTAAGTTCAGAAGTCACATTTCTGTTACGGATAACTCAGCTTTGAATTTATTAAATGAATTCTATAAGCAGGGAAAAAAATAATTTTATTCTCCACTCATTTTGTCAGTAGTGAAGCTATTCTCTGGCTGATATTGCACCTTGCCACATTAACTGCATATGTGTAATTTTACAGTTAAAGACTTTACAGCAGCTTTGCCATAAAATCTTTGCAGAGTTTAAAATATTTCTGAATCATAAGCAATTTAGCCATCTGAAGACTGTTGCTCAAATGCTTGGCTTGCTGTAACAGTAAATATCACTAGAAGAATAAAAGGAGCATCATTGATCATTTTCTCCTTTAAAACAACTTCCACTTCTCTTCACAGTACTGAAGATGTCCTGTGTCTGGTTTTATCTGCCTCTCTGCCTTCTCACAGCTGCTTGCCTGTGTCATTCCCTTAAAGCACCCACTGCCAGTTCCCAACAGAGCTTCGAGAGTGGTCTCTTCAACTTCTACCATTCCCTGATTCTTGCTGATGGTAAGGAAACTACAGTTCATCTGCTGAAGGATATCCCTAAAAGGTAAGCACAGATCAGCCACAAAGTCAATTCTTTTCTCATGTACTTTCCTGCAACACCAGCAGCCACACGCTAACAATCCAAGTCACGAACTGCTGTGTGCCTGCATAGCTCTGACATGTCTACTGAATTTACTGACACACCAGTGAAGTACAGGTGCCTTCCAGTGTACACTGTTGCTTTGCCCAGAACCTAGAATGACCCCCCTCTTTCTAGGCAGCTTTCTGTGATGGTTACAGAACTGGCAGGTTCCAACAGCAATCAGTTGCTGCATAATCAGTCTGGCTTCTGAACCACAGAAACATCAGCCTCCCCACAGCAACTGTAAAAGACAAGAATTTTATCTAGCACAACAGTGACCCCAAAATCAGTAAAATGCATGCAGAATTCTCTTATAATAAAGCATCTATTAGCATCCTGCATACTAGAGATGTCTTAGTTGAACAATACTATAAGCCTGTTAAGATCAAATATGAGTGTCATGTGGAAGTTAGTTTCTTCGTATCCTCAAAATACTTGCAGTTTTCCACCATATCTGAACATACACACAATGTAGATATTACAGCTGATAATCTCAAACAGGAAAGGCAAACTAATTAGCCTGTTCAGGAAGAGATGAACTTCAGGTGGTTTAATCAGAATCCTTTGACCAGTGGAACAGCACATAGAGATTTTGATGAATATTGAGCCATCTGGTTCATCCCCTGCTTCACAACTTCTGTTCTCCCAACACTCATTGCGTAGAAACTGAAACATGGCATATTATATAATGTGACATGCTTACAAAAAAAAAAAAAGCAGCAAAACTAGCTCTTCCTTTTAAAGGAAAATAGGCATTTAGATCTAAAAGAACAGTACATTTCACTGTTCTGTGACATAATAGGAAAATTCCTATTAGCAGGCAAACAAACCAAAACCCTTCAGTTTCACACGATCAAGTAAGAACCTTAGGAAGCCTAGAACCATGCAGACAGGAAACCAGAAGATGAAAAGATTTGGCTTATAAAAGACTTGAGAATGCAAAGCTGCTTCCAGTGAAGGTCAACTCCAAACAAATAGCCACATCCCCGAAATTAATGCAGACCTTTATGCTGATGTAATCTGTTCATAATAAATAGGTTTTTTTTTCAACAAACAAACAAAAATAAGTTGTCTACATTTAACTGCAGAGTGAGCTATCAGCATCCAAACATTTCCTGTGGCTGTATACAGCCACAGTTTACTGTTTACAGAAACAACAGAAAGAAAATGGGTGGTACAGGAAGCAAGACTTCACTGTAAATAAGAATAAAAGATTTACTGAGTAGATTGATGCTCCCTTGTACTACTAACACACCACAGCTTTTGTCATCCAAGCAAACTGGTTAGAACAGAGTTACCTGAAATTGCCAGTGACAGACAATCTTCAGGGTTGATCAGAATCATTGTATCTTCATCTTACACAGATGGAGACCAAAACATGCAAGAAGGTAAGAGAGAGCGTGCTCTCTAGGAGTCACTGTGGAACTCCAGTCAGGAAATTCTAAGGGAAAAAAAAAAATGTACCCAAGAGTTAGCCAACAAGTGGTTATCTAGAAGGTAATTAGTTTACCACATTCATCATCCAAAATAAGCACGTAAGTACTGAGATGCAATATTCACCTGAAATGTACTGAAATTCACCAGGGAAAAATATTGCCTGTGCTAAGTGGACAAAACCTCCAGGAACAACTGATGGATTAGAAAAAAGAACAATACATGTTCTTCCTGCAGGTGGAAGTTCCAGACATTCCTTATTTTGTTGCACTGATGCATCTCGAAAGTGAGCAGTCATTTCTATCCACATTGAAATGTCCACATCAAGAAAGGTACACTTCCTGTGAGTGTCAAACAGACCTGAATTTCTTCATGTTTCTCCTTGGATTCATATCCACATCTACAGGTATTACTTCGTTTTGGAAGAAGACACGGCCCTTGTACCTTTCACAATAACTGTGACCCCTTGTGATGCCCCCATTGAGTGGAGCATACTTGTGCACAAACCTTCAGCACGTTTGCTTGGGAAAGCAGCACAAGGTAAGATCTTCAGCCTACCTTAGAAGAGCTGTAGAAAGTATAAGTTACAAGTATTATACATTATCCAAGAAGTATTGTTACACAAAGTTCTTTACAGGCTTAAATATCATACTTGCTCCTTCTATAAACAGGCATCAGAGGAATTTGTCACAGGTGAAATTTGCAGTTCACTGGATTTTGCCAAAGTAGATTAAAAATTACATCTATACAAGTCAAAAACTCAAAAGTATCCGAGAACAACATGGATTGCTTCACAAACTCTTTGCACTTATCCAATTTTCTCCCTGCAAGTTTGTCTCCTGCGAAGAATCTAAACTGATAGTAGCAACATTTTCACACTGGAAAATGTTGCTTGCACCCCTTGATCTCCATGCAGTGTCCAAAATCCCTCTTCTCCCTGCATTAAACGAAGCAGGCTTTCCAATCAGCCCATGCTGAGTGAAGAGCTGTCTCAGCTCCTTCTCCATGGCTTAAGCCATTTCAACCAGTCACTTTCTGGATTGTTTCTAATTGATGTGCTGAAGATACAGCCTTTTTTTTTTTTTTTTTTTTTTTAAAAGTAATGTCACCTATCACAACAGTAGGCATTAAGCAAAGTTTAGCCTAAGAGGAAATTCCATTATTTTAAATAATTTCTGGAATTAATTCCCCCCAAAAAATCAGAAATTTGAGAGGTCCCACTAGCAAGTTCTTGTCAGACAGGCATACCCAACTAAGGAGTTAAATAAAATTCCTTTACATTAGTAAGCTTTCTCTCTTCATAGAAAAAAAGCAGCAAAAGTCTAATATAAAGAAAACTCCTTTCATGGAAAATGAATCTCCTTGAAGTAAAATGTCCAAAGAGAAATCTATGGGAGATGAAAATTGTAGGCACATAAGGCACCATAAAGTTCAAGACTTTTGCAAGTTGTTTTTATAATGATAGCCTTTATGAAAATCACAATAAGCACTGTTAAAAAGTCACTGAAATTTTACTTCAATAAATTACCAGTAGCAAAAAGCATTTGTAGTTATGATTATTTTCAGGGAGGAAGAAAGCAGGATGTTCCCTAACATATGAACAACAAAACCCAAGCAATGTTCAACATTCATTAAAGCAGATGTTGCAGTTCTGCTTCTCCTTGCAGGTGATCTCAATACACAAGATGTCTCAAAATTCCAGAAGGCTACAAGCATGATATCCACCATTTTCAACTACAAGGGAAATTCTGTAGAGACTTACATGGGTATGTCTTCTCAGTCTGCCCTTTATATGCTAGAGTTCTTATCTACCGAGCGTGACACACACATCACTGTGTACTTAACAACTGACACAACGTCTGGGCACCTCTATCCAGAACTTCCACTGGATCCACGCATAGATGTTATCGGCATTGGCCATACAACAGTGACTCTGACATGGAAACACAGTCCCTCTGCCTTGCAACACAGAGAAAGCATCCAGTACTGTCTTCTAGTTAATGAAAAGCACAATTATAAGAGCTTGTGTGCTGCTGAGACAGCAATCAGATTCTCCGGGATGAAAATGCCACCAACGTTAGCTTTGTCTCTCTCTCCATACCTTCTTGAACCACAGCAGGTAATGATATTATCAGACAGTGAACTGAGCATCATCAACAAAGTGAGCAGTGGAGAAGTCAGGCAGATATGTATGGGTGCCAAGAACACCTATACAGTGCCCGATCTCAGTCCCAGCACTCAATACTATTTTGATGTCTTTGTTGTTAATCTTCTCACAAATGCCAGTGCTGCTTACACTGGGACATTTGCAAAAACTCTAGAAGAACCTGAACCTAAAGTGATGAAGCTAAAAGATGGGAAGACAGTTCAGGTTGTACTGGATGGGAAAAAACAAAAATTGTATAGTTTGCAGTACCAAGCGAGGCACAAGAAAGTACAATTTGCCTTTCAGTTGTGCCGTGGTCAAGTACAGGTTCACATAACAAAAAATGGTAAAATAGTGGCATCAGAAAACATTCTGGGATTGAGGTATTTGTCACTGAAGGGAAAGCCATTGGACATGTACCTGGTGCAGCTAAGGTCCACAGAGGAATCCAACTCTTCTGTGAAAGTGCAGGTCTCCCCCCATTTCCATAAGCCCCTATTCCCACTTCTTCCAGAGAGCTTAAAAATCAAGTCTTTCAGTAAACTGAGGACTTGCAACTCTGTCACCATTGCCTGGCTAGGAACACAAGAGCAGAGCAAGTACTGTGTGTACAAGAAAAGAATTGAAGAAGATCAAGTATGGATGGAACTGAGAAATACAGACACGTGCTCTGGACCTGAATCTCGGCACAAGTCAGAGAAAGTGCTGTGCAAGTATTTCTATGACATAAATCTCCAGCGAGCTGTCACCACAGAGACTATCAAAGGGCTGGATGCAGGGACACTTTACTTGTTTGACATTTATCTCATTGGGCCATCTGGCATCCCTGTCAGATATCACAGCAAAGTTGTGAAGACAAGGAAAAAATGTTGAAGGTTCTTCCAGAGACACTTTGAAATGAGTGAACGAAGACTATTTCCAAAACCAACAGTAATCCATATCATAGCCCATACAGTTTAATACATGTCAACAAAAATATTCTAAAGCCATAATATTCTGCAAAGGGATTATCTTCATTCAGATTATTACACTTTTGTATCTTCTCCTGCATGCTTTTTTTTTTTCCTTCTCAGCTGCCTCACTGAGGCATCATGAACATGAAATTCATTCATGCACAGAGAAATAAAATACTCAGTGGCACTCATGAGTTAGATAGGTTACCCAAAATGCTTCTGAAATACAACACAGAAAATGGGAAAAACCCCTCAAGGAGCATCACTATTTTTAAGTTCTAACTTCCCACTGTGTGCAAGTCCATCAGCTAATGAGAAAATGAAAAATTCCCTAAGTCAAGCTGGTTTGGAATAATCAAACCTCCCCATTGCTTGAACAGCTCACAGGGATGGAGGAAATAAAGTCTGTGGAACTGTTATCAAGGTGCCTCCGTTCCACAGCTCAAGTAAAGCAGGCTGACATACCTTCTCTATTACCTGCATGCTAGCTTGACTTTTATCTTTATAGAGAAAATATTGTCTAAAAAGGGCTAAAACTTGGACCTGGACTAGTTCTGAATCCAGTTTTGCTGGGAGCATACAGACTGCTGTGCTGCTACCCACTGAGGAAAGAAATAAGGAATCCTGCTGTGGGAAGGTTTTTGTTTTGTTCTCTTAATATATAGCCTCTGTTATCAAGGCCGCACCCATCTCTGCATGACTCCGGAGAGTCACGTACTTGATCTCGACATCCCTAACCCAGCCTGTATCAATGGATGTGTTGCTTTAGGAAAAAGTAAATGTGGTTTTCCTTTTAAATATCAAGAAGGAAGAAGTATTTGTAGTACAAAGCCTCACAAACATGTTTTTTGTTGTCTGCTTCCTTGATTACCTTCCTTAGATGACAAAAGAGAAAGAGTATGAAAAATACTAAAAAATAAATAAATAAAAGTCTTCATAAGAAAACATGTTGAATTTCCATTATCAGCAGAAAATATTTTGCACATATGCTGTTGGCAGGTCTGGAATTTATGTATAAAAAGCTGTAATAGAGTGACTGACCCAAAGGTTGCTAGAGAAATCTTGCCTGCAATCCTTTCCTCTGCAATTATACTGCACAAAAACAAGCAATTAATTCCACTATTGTACATTTCAGAAGTTCACTTGCTATCCAGGATCAAGGTTGTAGCTTACTCTGAATAATTATTACCTCCAAACATGCTTGGAGGCACTTAGGACAGAATCTGTCCTCTGCATATAGACAAGCAATTAAACATTTCCTGCTCCAAAGACTTTATAACATCATGCTAAAGGGGATGTTCGCTCAGCCTCTGCATGGTGCATCCTGTCCATAAGCAGACTCATTAGTCCCAGAAGGGTTCTGGCCTTTCCATGTGATTAGCAGCAATGTGCAGGCCTTGACTAGGCTTTACATTCCTGCTGGCAGTATCCAGGATTGAGCAGCACTATGGCAGGAGCCATGTTCTGACCTCCTTCTACACTCCACAGGCCTTTTGGCTAATTACAGGGGCTGGCAGCTGCATTGCATTTTTCTAGGGCAAGCCTTCTCTTCATTTCGCTCCTGCCAAAATCAGTCTGAGCTCAAAGAGCAACAGAAGTCACCTCCACTTCGAAGTCTTAAATGTTTTCTTCTGCCTTCCTCTACTTCAGGCATTTATATTCTGGGGGAACTTAGTCTGACAAGTGACTATTAACCAGAATAATGAGAAAGGAAGAAAAGGAAGATAGTTTAGCTGCACATACGAAATACTGCTGATCTACAGCCCTTAGCCGATCAGATCATTAACCCCTGCTTTTGTCCTCTATACCTTTATCACAAAAACGTCACTGAGTGGAGACAGGCACATTGGCACCTTGCCTAATACCCATGCCTGTACTAAGGAATGGAGTATGGTATATGGAGTACGTTCTTAATAACTTGAGACTCCTTAGCAAATATCAGGTTTGTCAACCCCAGCTACGACATCAGCAGAGCGACAACTGGTGAGAGTGCTGCTGCTGGGTTCTCACTCACAGCAGCTACCACCCCACACCCCAATTTCTCTACAACCAGAAATCCTGTTCACAGGAGACACAGTTGGGCTGTAGAGAAGAACGTGCTGCTCTGCCAAAACCAAACATCTGTTATAAGCAGAGCAGGCAGCCTGCCCTCAAGGTAACAACCTACACTGCCCACGTGTGCATCCAGGCATGGTCTGTAGCACAGAGGCCAGCAGCAGCAGGGAATATTCCATTCCATTGCTCTTTCCACTGTGATTCTGCTTGTGTGCACCAGTCTGTGCAGCTGCTGTTAGTTCACTCATGCCTACAGCCTGCCCACGAGGCAGCTCTTGGGCACTCAGTTCTAAGCCAGGTGCCACTTTGTTCACTGCTGTTCTGGTAGCAAAGGCTCACATATATCCTTGCAGCATCCGAAGGCTCCATGTAACAGTGCTCCTGCCCCTACCAGCTGCTTGTTGTGCAGCTCCCTGCCCTCAACACCCAGAAGCCCTTTTGCTTTTAGAGCCATTTGGCATCTTTCCACCCTCTCTCTCTCCCATCTGAATAATGTTGGGCTGCTGCAGCCTCACCATAATCATTTCCCAAGGCACATTCCTCTTACACTTTTTGGCACTCTTCTTGCTGAATTTCAGGGGAAGCTCAGTTCCTTCAGTCTAGTCTGTCCTAAGCTACTAGGAATTCTTCCAATGTGTTGCCCACCCCTTAATCTGTGTTGTAGGAAATAGACTCTTCTTCACGCAGAAGATTATTACAGCAATGCTCTGCTTTTGTGGATCCCTTAAATTAAGTCCTCAACAGCTTTATCAGGCAAAAGTATTTTTCTTAGTGTGTCCTGGTGGGTCACAATCTCCATGCTTCTAGCTTTTGTAACCTCAAGTCCTGTCACAGCCAAAAACAAAGCCCAAGGTCATGCATATCTTCCCAAGTTTATTTTTATGGAAGGACTCCTTTTCTAAGCTACCATTCCACATAGCAAACTGCAGTCACTGTCACCAAGAGCAGGATACATAACATGAGAGAACAGGCTTCACATCCACTTCTCCTTTCTCTGTCAGCTCAGGCTCTTACATCACCTCCTGCACTCTAGTTACAAGCAGCAGCAATCAGTCTGTGACATAAGGAAACATGGGCTTTTTAAACCTGCCATTGACAAACCAACTCAGCAGGGAGCTCTTCAACACTCCCCAGTATTTCATCCAACTGCTAGAAGCTTCCAAACAACTTCAGAATGTAGCAGTATCTCATCCATATTCTATACTTCGAAATACATTGCTACCTAAAAGCAGTGACTGTCACCACTTTCAGAAATGCCACCAGCCCTTGAATTATTTATCTGATATTAAGAATCATCTTTTGTTCTTCCTTTTTTCACTATTATTTAACAACCCACTTATTGAAAAGTTCATCAACCCACTTATTGAAAAATAGGTTCACTATCTTCCTACAAATAGATTCAGGAATGCTTTCACAGTTTTGAGCAAGTAAATTATTTTTCTATTTTATCTTTGTATCTTTGCAAGGCTTTTTTTCCTGGCTGATGCCTTCTGATTCTGAAGCCTTGGTTCCAGCTTCAATAACATATTATAATATGCCTTCCTATTTTAGTCTCAAGTGCTGGACTTGCTTTCAGAGACTGAGAACTGAGGTATTAATGTATATACATACATCATTTTGTCTTTATTACTATTAGATTTTTAATTTAGTGGGATAGATTTTATAAAAGTTGCTGCTACAAAACATCCAGGCCAGTTGTGCTTTTGCACAAGGCTTTAAAAATCAAATAACAAGCACCGTCAACACTCCAAACCAGTGATCCCCAAATGCCAAAGGCTTTCAGGGACTGTTAAGGAAATGGAAGCTCTCTGGCATTTAGGAAAAAAAAAAAAAAAAAAGATGACTTGGTAACTGGAGACTCCTTCAGCATCAAACAGGTTAAAAAAAAAAAATGTTTACCTTTGGAGTTTCAGCTGAACAAAGGCTACACAGCTAACCATTGTTACCTGTGCTAACTGTTGCCTATCCTGCACTTACTGGATTGAGAAGTCAACACCTCTACAGACAGCAGATGTGTTTGCCTGCAAAACAGCAGGTATTTCCTGGGCAAATCTGTCAAAAACATTAAGAAATAACATTGTAAAAACCAGCTACATTTACTAAAAGATGCAAACATTACTTTCTTACTGAATTCTTCTGCAAAGAAACACAATACACAACGTGAGGATGAGCTGAAAGGACTCTGAGCTAACTGTTGCCGGCACAAGCTGCTGTCACTTATTCAGCCAACGCTGTGAGGAGATGGCTGAGCATCCCAGACAGCACACCAAACACCGTGCTGCGGCCAGGCCTGCAAGCACAAGAGGGCAGTGTCATGCTGCATGAGAAGGGGAAAGGGCTTATTTGATAAGGCTTATCAGGAGCAAATATTTCAGCAGATTTAACAAGCCAAGCATCCTGCTGATAAAGTTATTAAGGCAGAATATGTAGGAGAAAATACATGGAGCTTAATTTTTTTTTTTTTTTTTTTAAGTTTAAAACTAAAGGGTACAAGAAGTGACAGCTGAGGAACAACCCCTGGTTATCTGTTGGAAGGACTAACACCTGTGTTTCCAATGCCTCTGAAAGTTAGACTGCCATCACTGAAGAGGTCAAAGATCCTACAAATCAGATACAGCAGCACCAAGGACAGAAACAGCTAAGTTCAGGCATACTCAGCCCACTAAGTTGTGACCCCAGGCACCCTCTGACATCTCTATCTTGTCCTTTAGTGCTCTTGCCCCTTTTCACCTGCAATGCTCTTAGTGAGGACTTAGCTTCTGCCAGGGCTTCATATCACACCACCACCCTTGGACACTGACAGACATCCAGCACAGACCCCAGTTTGTCAGGTGCTGGTGCTCCAGGTTTGTCACTGATTATCTGGCCTCACCAGAACCTGAGGATTTGCTTCTAGGAACTCATGTTCCTATGTCTCTGG